CCTCTCAGGGGCTCGGAACATCAACGGGTTATTTCTCACTCGGGCTGCCCGTCCTCGGTGGTCAGCTGGGAGCAGGGCTGATGGAGCTGGCACCGTCTGGAACGTTGCTGGTCACCACGGCTGGGCCCCCTGCTCGATAGCGCCCCGGCCCCCAAAGGCTTCCCCTGGAAGGGAAGCGGGTCATGTGGGCCTGACCCAGCCAGCGGCTACCAGCGCCACCGCGTGCGGGGAGGAGCGCTGGAAACGTGGGGGAGGACCCTGATGACACCAGCGCAAGTCTGGGCCTGGGTTTGCTCACCGGAAGCGTGGCAGGAAGGGACGGGTTGGGCTAGAGTTGGGTCCTTTCCCTTGGTCCCTGGTGCATTCAGAGACTGCCTACGTGTGTGTGTGTGCGCGCGCAAATGTGCTCTCTGCTCGGGGCGAATCTTCAGCTTGTTTCAGGCTCTCAAAGGGTTTCAGGTTCCCACAAAAGCCCCAAAATTGAGAGCTCCTGGGCCAGGTGATCCCTTTGAGCCTTTGATTCAAGGAGCCTCATTGGCTGTAATGGACGGCACCTCCGCTCTTTGCCTTAGATGAGTGCGTTGGGTGGACTTGTGACCCCAGCGTCACTTGGGAGGTGGCGGTTTATCCAAGGGGACTCTGCCCCCTTTCCCTGTCCTGTGGGTGGGACAGATAAAGCGCGGGGGCTGGGTGGGGCTCTGAGAGTGGCCGGAAGGAGCGCAGGGTGGTCCCAGTCGAGGTGCTGCAGGAGGCTAGTGGTTTCGAGCTCAGCGAAGAAGGGGTGTGTGTGCCAGACGAGAAACCGGGCAGTGAGGGTGACGGTGTGGCCAGGGGCAAAGCTGGGTCAGCTTCTGGGGTGGGTGGCAGGGCCCTCCCCCCTGCTGTGAGCCTCAGTTCCTCACCTCAGAGTGATGGGTGCGCAGCATTGTGTGCGATGCCTGGTAGGTCCCCTCAGCCCGTGTTACTGCCCTGTGGGTGCCCATGCCTCGGAGAGGCGGCTTCCCGGGCCTGTGCTAGAGATGGGGGTGGGGGTCCAGAGTCACACAGCTCTTTCCAGCTGGGGTCTACCAGCTGCTTCACTGAACCCAAACCTGCCTTCTTCCCAGAACATGACACTGACCTCCTCCGGTTGAAACGCTCACGGGAGGATGGATATGGCCAGGCAGCCGGGTCACGGAAGCAACGGGGCTCACGAGGTTCTCCCACATGAGGAGAGACCTGGAACGTGCAGGGTGTTCTTCCCGGAAGGGTAGGCTGGGAGCCGAGGTGACCAGGGCGGGTGAGATGGGGTTATGTCCCTGCAGATGCCCTCCTCCCCCTCTAGGCCGTGAGTCTGCTGTGAAAGGCCGGACGTAGTGGACCCAACTGACCCGGGGACAAGGTCCCAGGCACCAGAGCAGGAAATCTGGGTGGCCCTTCCCGCTCAGCAGCAGGCTGGGCCCACTGAGGTCTGGGCAGAGCCAGACGGCCTGTAGGGGATGCCAGGAGGCTCAAGATGTCATCAGAGCAAGCTCCGGCTCTGGGAGCTGGCTGGCTCCTTCAGCAGCAACAGGGCAGAGAAAATGCTTTGGAACATCTGTTTTTGAGCAGGAAGAAGGGTCCAGTGGTGCCCTGGAGATCCATCCAGACTCCCAGATGCAAGCAGCCAAAATGGACTCAGGCAATCTCCAGTAGAAAAGGAATATGCTGGAAGGATTGATGGGAGCCTGGAGAGCAGGCTTGGAAAATGAACTGGAGCCAGGGCCAGTGGTGGGACCCTGTCTCGGCCTGGTATTCCCCTTTACAGGAAGATACTCCTTCCTGCCTCATGAGGAATTCGTACCTCCTTTGTCCCGAGCCACTTTGCTCAAGACCCAGAGTCTCGGGCAGGAGCTCCTGACTTTGCAGCCTGGATCACCTGCTCACACTCAGTCCTGAGGGGTGCCGGGGACTTCCTTAAAGATCCCTAACAGGGTCTCACACGTCACGGAGGTCCCCAGAACGGGAAGGGGTTGTACCAGGTACGAGGGAGGCAGGTCTGTGTTGGGTCTGGTCGCTGAGTCACCGTCTGTGCCTCATAGCCACTGCCCCACGGTTGGTGAGTTCGTTCATTCTCCTGTGACCAGCCCAGCCCTGAGCGTGCCAGGCACTGCTGGTCAGCACTGGCCATCTGAGAAAACATTCTGCCCTCAGAGAGCTCACCGTCCACTCATTCATTTGTTCATTAATTCGTTCAGCTGGTCTCACTCGGTCACCTGGTGCCCCAGACCCTGGGGCATGGTGACAGTCACACAGGGGCACGTGTTTGCGGGGCAGCGTGCTGAGGCCATTGGGCACAAAAGAGGGAGAGAGGCACTTCTCCCCCTCTCCTTCCTCCTATCCTCTCTGTCTTCCTTTGTGTCCTCACTTGGCCATTCGTTCTAGCCAGTGACACCCTAGGGACACTGCCCGGGTCCACTGTGCTCAGTGTGACCCTACCTCCCATGCTCATTCCCCATGGCTGCTGTGACTCGTTTACCACAGACTTGGAAACAACAGAAATGCGTTATTTGTTTGTGGTTCTAGACGCCGAAGGTCCCGCACAGGTCCCGATGTGCTAGAATCAGGGTGTCAGCAGGGCTGGCTCCTTCTGGAAACTCTTGGGTGCACGGGTCTCCTTGCCTTCTCCAGCTTCAGAGTGTGCCGGTGGCCCTGGGCTTGTGGCCGTATCCCTCCAGCCCGTGCTCTGCCTCAAACTGTCTGACCTCCTGCCTCCCCCTTGTCAGGACCCTTCTGATGACAGTGGCCCACCCAGATATTCCAGGATAGCCGCCGCATCTCAAGGTCCTTCACTGACTCCCATCTGCGAAGCCCCTTTGTCACGTCCAGTCACCTGTTCATCAATCTTTGGGGGTCAGGGGACAGCCTTTGGGGGTCCTCTGGCTGCCCTCCCATGCTGGCCCCTCCGTCCGGCCAAGTGAAAGAGCTCAGACTGGGGGTGAGCTGGGGCCGGCCCTTCCCAGCGGTGGTCCGGGGACATCTCCCCCGCACCCCGCCCCCGCCACCCCGTGGCACAGAATTGGCCAAGGTGGGATCACTGAGAGCCCAGAAGGTGGCCCAGGCTGCAGTCAGCGCTTTTTGTTCTGGAACAAATTTATCAGCACCCCCGGCCATGGCCGCACGGCTCCCGATCGTCACTATTTGTAAAAGCCTGCATGTGCCGCACACGGGGATGACCTCATTGTTTGGGATCCTTGCGTCGTGCTCCCCAAGCATGGGGTGTATTTTATCATCCTCGTGAACCAGAATGGTCATGAGATCGCAGAGCTCGGTCAGCACTGAAGGGAGGCGACTCAGCCCCAGACTGTCCGAGGCGCTGCAGGGCCCACGGCTGACTCCCCTTCGGCCTCCGCCTCCCCAGTCAGGTGGCGCAGGCTCTGGGTCTCTAGCGGACTCGAACCCGGGTCTGTCAGAGACTCACACAGAAGGTGTCCCCGGGTCCACTCCCTCTTCAAGGCACAGGTGCGAGTTTGCCTTGTGTCCGTGGGCTGGTCTCAGTCTGTCTGAGATACAGACAAGTCTCCGAGCTGGCCCACAGGGACCTGAGGCCCCGCTGCACTGGCCACTGAGCTGGGTCATCCGTTCAAGCCCAGAGAGTCCCCCAGACTCTGCCTGGGAGAGCAGCTAAGCTTTATCAGCAGTTCGGGTTTGAAACCTGGATCCCCTGGACAGAGGGGGACCCTGAATTTGTACCCGCTTGTGCCTACGTGTGTGTGCGTCCATGTGGGTGGGGAACAGATGTCGGATTCTTGTGCTTGAAAAGAGGCTCTGGCCTTCGTGAGAGTCACTGGACCATCAAGGTCAGGGTCACCTTGGAGCAGACCCCCGGTGGGGTCAGACAAGAACAAACACTGCATTTTTGCCCTTGGGATGGTCAGTGGGAAACTTGGAATGCCATAGCTGTGGTTTACAGCATGAGTCGGACGGCCTGGGTTCACGTCGTGGCCCTGCACCTCCTGCCTGTGAGCCTGTGGGAAGCCTCCTAACCTCCCCAAGCCTCAGTTTCCTCACTTGTACCTGGGGTGATGACGTGGACACTCCCAACTTCCCAAGGCAGAGGACCCAGTAAGCCAGTCCACGCATGGGCCCCAGTGCTGAAGCATGGGGTGCATTAGTGTCGGCCAGACCTTCCTTGGGCCTCGTCTTATTTGAGAGGAGCTAGTGACGATGGTGGTGATGACCGTTACGACTGCGGTCGTGTGACCCCTGCTATGGGCCTGGCCCGATTCTTGGTGCTCCCCAGGAATCATTCCCAGTCCTCATGACATTCCTGCAAGGTCAGGGTTCGTGGCCCCATTTTACAGATGAGAAAATTCAGGCCGAGTTGCCAAGGTCTGTGCACAAGGGTGGCATGGATCTGGGATGGTTTTGCCCTCTGTGTGGTGATTTTTAACTACGGTCTGCCTGAGTTCAAGGCTGGGCTCTTTCTTCCCTGACCTTCTGCAGTTAAAACCACACGCTTTGAAGCCAGCCTGCCTGGGTTTGAATGCACTTAGTTGATGTGAGATCTTGGAGTCTCGGTTTGTCCCTCGGAGAAGTGGGCATAGTGCTAGTCACCTCACAGGGCTGTTGGGAGGACTAATGGCAGAATGTGAGGCTAACAAAGGCCAGGCACCTGGAGCGGCGCCTGGTAGAAAGGAGGCCCCAGAACTGCTCTGGCCCCCAGCATCTGACCACCAGGCCTCTTTCCATTCATCCCGACCCCTCCCATCAAGGAATGCGTGCAGTGACTGCTTCCAGCCGCCAGTGTCGGGAGTCACTCCTACCCAGCAAAATAAGCACACAGGGACAGTGAGGTCTTGTTTCAGGAGAATCCCCCTGGTAGCACTCTGTTTCAGTTCTGTACCTGAGAGGTTCCCCTGGGTGAATTGCTGTGTGAAGGCTACAGGGCAGACCCTTCTGGGTAGAGGCTGGGCCGCGCGTGCTTGGGCCCTGACATGCGGCAAGCCAGTGACGGCCTCGCTGTCTTCTTGTCGTTGCAGGCTGCCAACAGCTACCTTCGAGACCAGTGGTTCCATTCCCTGCAGTGGAAGGTAAGTCCTGACGCGGTGGCTCACAGAGGGCGGCCGGCTCTGTCTCGGGCTGCCTCCTGCAGGCCCACAGCCAGTCCGTTACCTAGAGGTGTGAGGGCGGACGGACATCTGACTTCCAGACGGCTCGGCCCAGGAGCCTTACCCCATTGCGGAAGAGCCTCTCCCCCTCGTCCCTCTGATGTGCGATGCCTTTCGCCCTGCGCTGGCGTTCCTGCGCCCTTGGCCGCGGATATTGCTCGTGAGCTGTCTGGGATTGTGCCTGCTTCCAGAAGGATCACAGAAGCACTTGCTTGTGGAGCAGGGGCTCTCCTGAGGGGCCGGGTGAGACAGGGCTCGCGGTCTCGAGAGGCTGGGTTGAAAGTGACTTCGGACGGTTGCTCCGAACATAAACCTGCCAGAGGTTCAAGCGCCCAACCGTTCTCCCACATCTTCACCTCTTTCAGTTACTGCTTCTTTGGCCCGATTTTCCTGTTCACCCTCTGCATAGGAGTGCCCAGAGCCTGTTAGCACAGAAGGAGATGAGGCCTCTGCTGGTCCCTTTCAAGACCCAGGGGCCAGATCTGCCGAGAAGGAGCCTCCCAGCCCCCCGGGGAATCCACACCGTGCCCAGGGTGTGGAATGTGCAGGCAGCTTCTCCTTCCGCCCTGCCTCCCTGTCCCTCCCGCCTTCGGATCTTTTAGTTTAGAACAAGCCGTGACAGTTCTGTGGCCTCGCTGAGCCAGCAGGGTATGGCTGGAATGACCGGTGCGTGTCCTGAGCTGTGGTTGTTACCGTAAGCTGGAGAGCCACGGAGGGTGAGCGGCGGGCCCCGTGCAGGGCATCAGGCCTCAGGCGGTGTCGGACTGACCAAGGGAACACTCGGAATTCCTCTCGTGCCTCTGAGGGACTCTCGTCACAGCCGGCCCAAGGACGGAAATACAACCCTGGAAAATGACATTCCTGGCCCCAAACAGGGCCACGCCTCCGGTCTCCCCCGACAGCTGCGGGTCCTCTCGCTTGGCACCCATGTGGCAACCTCAGAAGCTCAACAAGAAGTCTCCGAGTTGGGGCTGCGGGAGGAAAGGATTAGAATTTATTGAGCACGTACCGTGTGCCAGGACCATGAAGCTGGGCGCATCGTGGCCATTTCACCCTTGCCGAAGCCCTCGCAAGGCTGATGACTGTCACCGCTCCCATTTTATGCTTGGGGACGGTGAGGCGAGGCTGGAGCCCAGCTCCCATAGCTCGTCAGGGCTGGAGGCCGGGTTCACACCCAGGTCCCTCTCAGGCCTGCAGGTTTCTGAATGTGCAGGCAGAAGGCATCGGGGGCCAGCCGGGAAAGCGAGGTGGCACATTCCCGCTCACGGAGTCAGCAGGAGTTACGGAGAGCTGTTTCCCCAGCGGGATTATCCGTGGTCCCTGAGGCCTGGCTGTGTGCGGCCCTGTGTGTCCCAAGACAGGCCCGGCTGATGTCAGGACCTGCCGGGGGCCCGTCTGGGGGTTAAATGCCGGAGGAGCAGGGAGGATGAGAGGGATGGAGTGGTTGGGGGGCTTCTGAAGGAAGGGCCCATTTCACTGCCACGATGGCCTCCTCCCCCTTCTCCGAATGCATTTTCCAAATGAATGGAAAGGTCAGTGGGCGGCTGCCTTGCTGTGTCTTAGATCAGGAAGGGGCAGGAAACTGCTGCCCCCTTGACAGTAGGGAAATGCCTCCCTGCAGAGGTGGCCAAGACCCCTGTCGAGGGGCAGGCCGGCTGTCTTCCGTGTTCGGCCGAGCTCTGCCCAGCTGGGCCTGTTCTGCAGCTGCTGTCTGTGGCCTGTGGGAACACCTGAAAGGCGGTACCTGGGGAATTTGTGTATAGTGTGTGGCTGGGAGGGAGGGCTCAGACGGTGGGCTTGGAGAGCCGAATGTCCCAGACCGACTGGCCAGAATGATGACTTGAAAGTGACAACCTTGAAACGTACAAATTTAAGCGTCAAGTATTGTGTGTGGGATTCAGACAGTTTGACTGAACAGCTACAGAATCGGGGGTGCCTGGGCTTCCAGCAGTGTTCAGGAAGGCCTGGATGTCTGCACTCAATTTTGTGACGTTTGGTATCTTTATGGTTGTTAAATTTATTTAAAAAAAAAAAAAAAGCCCCCCCCAAACAAAAACAAAAAAAACCAAAAGCATCCAGGAAACTCCAAGTCAGAATTTCAAGGAGCTGGCATTGCCTGGCAGTGTGCGGCCCTTTTGCCACGTGGTAGACGGTGACTTTGTTCTCACTGTATAAGCTTTTACTGGTGTGTTGGGCGGGTTAAGACACTGGCAGTTTTCCCCCTTTGACAGATGCCCCTCCCCCAATAATTTAGGTATGCTGCCACCAGGTGGCAGTGGTATCTTAGTGTCAACAACTTGGTTTCAGTTTCGCTGGGATTGGAGGAAGCACGCCCTCCTTTTTAAAATGGTGAAGTTTAAGGTGCTTTGGAGGCCCTCTGGGCTAGCAAAATGAGCTGAAGACCTGGGTTCGAATTCTGGTTCTGTTAGGGTCTGGGTAGGTTCTGGAAGCGTTCGTGAATTCTGATGCAGATACAATGTACCAGGCATGGCTGTGCACATTTCTGTTCCTTGTCATTCAGCAGATGAGGGAACCAAGGCTCAGAGAGTTCTAACGACTTACCACAGGCACAAAGCAGATCTCGGTACAGATCTGCGGGTCTGCCCTGCCTCTCCGGCTGTGCCTGATCGTGACCGTGGGACCCTTCAGCCCACTCAGGATGTGACCTTCTGCCTCTCCTGCCTGTTAGAGCCTCTCTTTCCGCCATATTTATAATCAACCTTCTTGGCTTCTTTCCTTTCCTCTTTTCAGTATCTTTTTAGAAAATAAAAAATGAGGACTTCAGAAACCCTGCAACCTCAGCTTGATTTTCAAAATTTTCTGCATATTGTTTTTGTCGTTTTCCGCTGCATCAACATGTGTGTGTCGTTGCTGCGGCGCACGTGGAGAACCCATTCTTTTATTTGTAAGGAATGCTGCCTATTAAATACTGTGTTCCCATTGGTTTAGTTTTTACTGAGTTGTGCGGGTGTCTCTAGAGCCTTCTCAGCAAAGAATTGCTCCCAAGGGGAGCCAAATGGGTTCTTTGGGGCTTAAAAAACCTTGAGTTACTACAGTAGCACTTGGCCCTCTGAAGTTCATCCCCATTCAACAAAATCTGTATTTTTTAGTATTTAATTTCAAAGGGAGGAGGGAAGTAGGAGGAAAATGCCCAAGAGGGCTCCTGGGAGGGGGACTGGGCAAGGATAATTAGAAAAAGGCTGCGAAATGCTCAGTCCGCCCCAGGTGGTGTTGTAGGCTACAGATGTGATCTTCTCGCTGGCCCCGGTCCGCCCTGGTAATGCTGGTGCTCAGCGACCTCAGCGCCCGACCTCTGCCTTCTTGTGCCCTCACACTATGCCTGGGGTGTTTCCTTGGCCCAGACCCTGTTTTGAGCATCGTGTGGTCTCCCTGAATAGTCCATCATTATTGACACTTACGTGTGAGGACATCTGAGTCCCCGGCCATGCTCCCAAGGGTACTCAGAAGGGTCCCAGCTCCCAGGTTCCCCTTCCCTGCTCCCTCCACCCCTCCGCAGGCTCCCCTCTTCCTCTCGGCCTCCTGCCTTTGGCCAGCACTGCTCAGGGAGCGCCTTCTCGTAGGGGGACGGCCACATCTCCAGTCCCAGGAGGGAGGGTGGGACAGGGTTACTCTGGCTGGTGGGACAGCAGCGCCAGCCCTCCTAGGGCCCTCCAGAGCGCAGCACTCTGAGGGCTCCCTGGAGAGGGCAGCCCTGTTTGGCTTGGGTGGTTTGGCCCCTGAGGCCAATTCCTAGGGGTATGTGAGCATAAACAGTTTTACTGAGTTAATGAGGCCTCGTTTCTGAGTGAGAGATGCACCTTGGAGGCCAGTTCCTGTGGAGACAGGCCTGTCTGTGTGTAAAGACTGTGAAGGGACAGGCCTGCCTACGTGTGCAAGGCCATGAGGGGACAGCCCCGTTCCTGTGTGCAAGGCATGTGAGGGCATCGTGTGTGTTTACAAAGCAGTGGGAAGACTGGCCTGTTTCTGTGTCCTCTAAGTTTTGAGGCAAGACGCCGAGGTGTGCACAACTGTGGGGTCAGGCCTGTCGGGGTGGACAGCCGCTGGCTGGGAGGAGGCACGCGTCGGGCCCAGTAGGGAGCTTCCAGCTCTGGAAAACAGCCTTTTCACTTCCGGGGAGGGGTTCCGTGCGGGCCCTTGCGCAGAAGTCCTGAAAACCAAGACTGTTTATCCCTGGCGGAAGCTGGGCTCCTAAGAACAGTCCCCGAGGCCCATCCCAAGTGCTGGGGCCGGAGAAGCAGAGTCTGCGTGATACGAGACGCTGACCTCTTTCTTGTCCCAAGGCTGCAGGGCGGAGGAGGCGCAGGGCTCTGGGAAAATCCCAGCTCAGGTTGGCATCCTCTCCGGCATTCCGCCCCGGCCACGGCACCTCCTCTCCCCACACAGGTTTCCCCGACCCCTGGGGTGGCCGCAGCCTTGCTCACCCCATCCCTGGCTCTGTCCCTCTTCCATGCAGAGCAGGAGGGTGGGAAGGAATGTGGGGTGCACATGCCTGGGGGAGGGAATGGGTGTGTTTGTGTGAGAGAGAATGTGGCATGAGAGGGAGTAACCACGTAGGAGTGTACTGGGTACGGAGTGGGTTTATTTGAGCCTCTGTTTTCTTCTCTGTCAAATGGGGAAAATCCAGCACCTTGCTCACCGGGTCGCGGTGGGTGCGATGCCCTGCCGTGTGTGAGGCAGTTGGAAGGGGGCTGGCAGCCACAGCTGGTGTGAGGCTCCTGTCGGTGTGGCTTAGCCACCCCCACCCAGGCCCAGCCCCTGCCCTGCCCCTGCCAGGCGTGTTTCAGAACTGGGGATGGGCAGGAGGTGTCCTCAGGAGTGAGGGCGACCGCCGTTCCTCGAAGGCTTGTGAGCACCGCTGTGCCTGGTACTTCATGCACATTCGCTCCCCGGTCTTCGCTCCC